AAATTTCGCACAACATCAAAGCGTTCGCCAGCAGGTTTAAAATTGGCACTGCCTTTTCTACAGATTATAGATTGAGCCGTTTGACCCCTATTGCCTCGACTGTTTCAGGTTGCACGATAAAACACAGAGAAAGGGATGTAAACTGCTCGTCGGGTGTCGTTTACACGATACCCTTTGATTGTGGCTTCTGTTATATTGGACAGACTAAACGCTGTATAAATGACCGCTTGATGGAACACAAACGTTGTATAATGAAAAAAGACCCGTACTCCGAAGTGTCAAAACATGTTATCGAATGTAGGAACTGTGCACCGTTGTGGCATTTAACTTCAGTAGTGTTGCGGGAAAAAGATGACCATAAGCGATTGATAAAAGAGTCATTAACAATACTAGGTCACGGGAACGCAGTTAATAAGCCGTCGTTTGGGTTCGACAACGAACTTCGGCGTTTTCTTAGGTTGTGAAAAGTTCTGACCTTCAAGGTTTTTCTTTGTAGGTTTTCAAGGAAAAGAAACGTTAAGTCGTTTTTTTTTTCTTGTTGTGTGTGTGTGTTAATGGTTGAATGTAGGTTTTCGGGTAGAAAAAACGTTAAGTCCTTTGTGTTTTTTTTTTTTTTGTGTGTGTTAATGGGCTTAGGCTTTCCAGTGTGTTTGGCGGTCGGGTAGCGAGGGGTCAAAGATAAGAGAGCTGCATGACGCAGAGTCCGTTGTCCTTGTATTTAGTCAAAGGTTACATTGGTGGAAAGTGGCATTCTTTGGGGTGCTCACCCTCTCCCCCTTTTTTTATTTTGTGTCGAATTGCCTATATAACCAGATTTCGGAAAATAATAATTTCAGCTGTGATAGAGACTTTTTAGTGTTGTGTCGTTTACCCGCAGTCTCGGGGTTTTTTCAACCATGTCTAAAGATTGACCCTAATATACTAAAAACGGATCGAATCATTCCTTCTTAAACGTCGTCAGTTTGTTTATGCTAACCACGCCAAATCCTCCCTGTGATCTGTTTCTTCTGGTGTCCCCTAGGGGAAAGTACTCGGCCCATTACTCTTCCTAATTTATATTATTGATCTTCCTCTCAACATCTCCACCACTGTGCGGCTTTTTGCCGATTACTGTGTAATCTACCGTAAAATAACCTCTACTGATGATATTGTAACGCTTCAGGACGACATTTCTAAAATTTCTGAATGGTGTAACTCATGGCGCATGTCCCTAAATCCTAACAAATGTCAATGCAAGTGCTTTTCTCGTTCATTGTCAATTACCTATTCTGTACTTCTTTTGAACTCTGTCCCCATTGATTATACTAACCAATACAAGTACTTAGGCTTGCATCTCACACCTAATATATCACGGCATGCTCATATTAAAACAATTAGATCCTCAGCAAACCGCTCTCTAGGCTACATTCGCCGAAACTTTAGATCCTCACCTGAAAACCTAAAACGTGTTTTGTACACCACTATCGTTAGGCCTAAATTAGAATATGCGTCCTCCATCTGGCATCCTCATCAGAAAAATTCAACAGACTCCATTAAATCCGTTCACAACTGTGCTGCTGGCTTGAGTTTTAATGACTATTCTCGTACCTCAAGCGTATCATCAATGAAGTCTCGTATTAACCTTTCTCTACTTTCCTCCCGCCGTCAAATTTCCCGTCTTTCTCTTCTTCATAAAGTCTTCTACATACCTTTCTTGAAAATATCTCTTCTAAACCCACCCACCTACGTATCATCAAGACTGGACCATTCATGCAAGGTCGCCCGTCCCAAGTCATCAAGTCAAGCACACTAGCATCCCCTCATCCCTGAAGCAGTTGTGGACTGGAATGACATCCCGGACGCGATGGTTACCGTACCCGACTCCAAGCAATTCCGACTAGCCCTTCCGAACCACTTGTACTGACCCACTCCCCTCTATAACGCCCCCGAAACATTGAGGGTATGTATAAATAAATGAATAAATAATTAAATGAAGAAATACAGGAAACCACAAGAATAACGCCGATGAAACTGGTGTCCGGAAGACATGTCACAACGACGCTCGACGCTATACTGCCGAAATTCGAAAGGGACGACCAAAATGACGATGTTACCAGGTTTCTTCAACGAGCAGAAGCTAAACAAGTGGCGAGATAGCGCATCAAGACTCAGCAACGCAACGACGCTGCACGTACCGTGCAGCGTCGTTGACTCCGACACCGCGCCGCAGACTACGAGTTCGGTGATCGTGTTTGGATCTGGAAGCCGATACGTCGTCAAGGGCTCAGCGAGAAACTTCGCCGCTACTTTGGCCCGTACGAGATTACCCGACGCCTAGAAGACCTGAACTATAACTTGGTTTACGACAGAATAACACAATCTCAGTGACGCCAACCTCACCCAGAAATTGTTAACGTCGTTCGAATGAAGCCGTACTATTCCTGATGGAAGCTGTTGGATTTTTTTTTTTTCCACTGCGATTACTTTGTTCTTCTTTCCGTTCTCAATGTTTTGTTTGAAGCATCGGGTCGGTGCTTTTATTGAAGGAAGGTAATGCCGCGTCCTCTATTTTTTTTTTCTGGCTTGGTCTCTGTATGCACTGTCATCTCTTTCTTTAACGTCGCCTATTATATTTTCATTGTACGCAAAGCTAGCTCGCCTGTTATCACCTATTGCCGTTGGCCGCTCGTCGTGTATAGAGTAAAATGTTCTTGAAGTTTCCGAAAATGCGCTAACAATCTCGAATGTACGATGAGTGTGCAAAAATGGAACTATACTTCGTTTCAGCTTCGGTCCGAGCGCGGCCGATGTTATGAGCCGAAGGGCCAATCAAACAGCGAAAGAGGCACAACGTCATGGCGTGCTCTGCAGTTGAGAGGACCAGCCACTGATCTCTATTGTCTCTATTGTAGTAGGCTGGATCGCGGACCGCGGTCTCGGCAGGTGGGGCCGGGTGTCGCCACCGGGAGCCATTGATTAACACCAGCCAATGCATGGGACTCTATGGGAAGAACGAGAAAAAGTGCCGTTTTCTGCTGTTTCTAAGCTGTCGTCGGTATTGAAACTTTATTGATGCTTTTCGATAAGCCCGTCAAACAGCTTGCGTACAAACATTAAAACTGAGAGCCCTCGCAATTCTTATAAATAAATATTTTGTGGTTGAGAGTAACTCCGCTGTAGTTCAGCTCAATGAGGCGAGCTACCTAAAGTTACCGCGGAGCCGGTGGCGGTTTCGTTGAGCTGGGTTTAGCAGACGACAAGCTCGAAGGCTTTGCTACGCGGAATTCTCTCATTCTCGGAAAGCCGTTGTTGAGATGGAACTTCTTTGTCATTCATCAACGTCTGGGCTTCCCCGAGGACTGTCTCATTGACGGCAAGTTCCTTTGTTTACTCCACTACGAGAGCAAGCTTGCCAGCTCAGCCGGAGGTGCTCCGGTAGATTTGATTTTTTATTTCGGCGACCGAACGTTTGACAAATACCGATTCGATCTCCAAACACCCGACACAAGGATCGCAGCGCACCATAAAATACTCGCCTCCGAGCCAGGCGTACACGCTTCAATATTCTTACTTTTGTGCGTTTCTCCCATAGACTTGCGTGTATTGCCTAATGTCAAGCAATGGCCGCCGGTGGCGACACCGACGGGCTCCCGACCCGCGATCCAGCCTACTAAAATAGAGATCAGTGGGACCAGCCGGTATACGCCGTCTCTCTGTGCGTGCTCCTCCGACGGCTAGTTTTATGAAGCGCAGAGAGCACGCCATGACGTTGCGCTCTTTGCGGTGTTTGATTGGCCCTTCGGCTCATAATATCGGCCGCGCTCAGACCCAAGCTGAAACGAGTATAGGTCGCACACAGCGGCATTCTCTGCGCCGATCGCCGACTGCAATAGTCAGCCTTGTTGATTCGAGTTACCTTTGCTTTTGTGGGGCAAAAGTTCGCCCAATAAACAGTTTCTCCGCTGAATTGTCCCCGTCATTTCGCGCGTGCCGTTACCTCCGCGTGACAATATGTATATCCTTATAATCTACTCACAAATATCACAATGCCTTTCTGGAATTTGCGCAAATCGGTCGTAAATGCTTTTAATGAGAATTAACAGGCAAGTATGAATATACTGGCAGAATTTCAATATCTCTGATGAGCCATCACACTCTTCCTAATAAATAAAATAAGAGTCATAAAAAAACATTGTTTCAAAATCTATATCTCCAGCAAGCAATTCACTATAAAAGCAAATCAATATAACATACTAGATATGTTTACTATCTATGAGCAGAATTATATCAAATGAACGCCCATGAGGTTAAAATATGAAAAATAGGACTTACAGGTTCCTTATTTATAATAAGCAACACGCCGCTATTCACATAACGTGTCTTTAAGAGCACGTGGTCTAAATCGTGTAACGTTTGAGGCCATGTGGCAAACAGAATGCAAGGGGGAATAGACTTCTGAAACACGTCAGATGAACGTAGGAAGATACACGAAGAGAGGGGAAGATGCCAGCAGTGTGTTCGCAGTTTTGTTTTTCTCTCTCTCTCTCTCTTCATGCATCTTTCTACGTTCAGCTGGCATCTTTTAGAAGCAATGAATCACCCCTTTCGACAAAAGCGCCAGAAGACAAGGACGTTAAGTAACAGACACAGTACAAGAGCTTAGTGGTTGTGCTGTCTCTTGGTAATTTATCTCCTTATCGTGTGGCGCTTCTGTCCTAAAGAACAATGTACCAACTAGCCCATCTCTCACCATTGATGCAGGAATCGCCAACTAGCTCCTCTACAAGCACTTACAAAGAAAATACACGATGATTACCATCATAACTTCCCTACCTCTGAATAAACCATCGCTTTGGCACTTAGCCCATCAATGCCATGCTTATTCGATAAGGTTAACCAAATCCTCTTTAAGATATATTATACATTGTAACGTCTCACATGAATAATCACATATCCCGTAACCTCAAATTCGATGGCGAGCAATGACAGACAGGTGGAATATTTAGCCCGAGGACACTCACCTTGAAGCTCATCACCAGCGAGGCTACTTTGTTGTGAGCCGTTTCCGAATTGCCGATCATAAAATCCCATCCGGAAAAGAGCTTCCATGTGAAGGTGCACTCGTCTTCCTTCTCGGTCATTTTACTCTGACGCGAGTTTGCCGCCATTCTACGGAAAAATTACACCGTTCATCAGTTTCAGTATTTTGGGGTATATTACAAAAATTCTTATAACAAGGTGCATTAGCTCATCCTTTGCTTTCGTATTTTAATAAAATCATATGGCTTCAATGAGCGGAATAATTTTTTTGTGTTTTGTCTTCATTTCAACGAAGGTCGCAACATTAATTTAAAAAAAAAACATTAGAATAACACTATTCTTAACATGATAAAAAAGCTAGAAATAATTAGGGAAACATTGCTTCATCAGTCCTTAAGTACTTCATCAAATAATTTGTAAAAACAAGAAACACAAAATCTTCAGATATAACAGACAATTGGCATTTCCTTAAAACGGCGCATTAAAAATTTTTTCAAATCTTGTTCGAACAAACTTTCGAATTTGCCCCACCTCTTCCTAAGTGATACTTGAAAGTAATCGCGCCGTCTAATTCAATTTTATCTAGCACTGAACATTTCAATTCAGCAGGCACTGAAACCAACTTGGAAGGAATATATTATTATACGCACATGTAACGTTACCCTTTGGTTATTGGGAAGATATGCATTTACAGCTAATGATTGTCAACCTGCGTCTGGTTCGAATGTTCATTTAATTTCTGATGCTTTCATCAAACGGTTACTCTATATGAAAAAATAGGAAAACATTGATGAAATAGTTTATTGTTACACATCTCGCAAGCGTTATCGTTGCATCCGTTCATCAGATATTTTCAAAACTCTGGTATTTGACGAAAATGAAAATCTATATAATAGACGCGTTTTTTTTTTAACAATAGACTCGGCTTTAATAAAAGTACTTTTGTATAATGCAGCAATTCTATCACAAAAACTACCCTCTAATATGTGCTGATTGCACAATTATACCAGGTCCTTTCTTTTAAGAATACACGCCAAAAACAAGCGTTTTTCAAGGAGAATAATAAAAATCTCGTATCGTTTATTTTCAGATGTTTAGGTTTCTTCAAAACTGAAAACGTGCGCACGCTAAAGACTACAATTTATATCCGCCGAATGTTCATTAATATTTTAGTAGATTGGTTACAACATAAATTAAAAAAAGAAGTGCAATAAAATTTGCAATGTTTCTTTTTTTCACAAAAGTAAACTTTATTCTGAAAAAAAAGTATTGCCAGCTTGTTTGTTTTATTGTAATATGTATTATATAAAACGCGGCCCTGAAAAAGACTAGTCACCATTTACAGCAAACAGTGTGGTACGTGTGAGGCATTGTATTTAAAAGAATCGATTACGCCGATATCAAGGATGTTATATACTCTTTAATCGTCGTTTGCATTAAGCCTAAATGCCGAAAAAACACCTTTATTCAGAGTACCACATGTGTCCATATATAAGTGAAGTTAATTTTCATGTGAATTTTAACTCTACCAGGCATTTTATCTGGTAAAGTGGGAATGAAGGCTATAAATAATATTATATTAAAATTATGTTTCAACGGGGTTTATCGCGATATCCTTTGCGTGGTTCGTGGTTTGATTAAGCCTTGCGAGAGATTCGCAAGAACATTTCGCAATCGAGCGATGACGAAACGTCCCATTCCTGTGCCACTCGCTTCGAGAAGTGTTGGTTCTACGCCTGCCAATGCGAGGCTGGAGACTCACTTTCTTAGAATGACGAAGAAGCTGAAGATGTACATGGTGAGCGAGGAGAGGAGGTATGCCAGTGGCAGACGATAGCCTTCCTCAGTCATGTCACGATTGCTGTAGTAGCCGTAGAAAATGGGAGAGTACTTGAGGTATCCCTAAAGAAATAACACAACAAAATAGTAGTTGTGCACAGGAACCACCTATCCACATAAAAAAATCCCCGTTAAGTCAAGAGTATTTTTATACAAACTATAATCTGTTATATATTTATCTATAATTTTATTTATTTATTATTAATTTATTAGCACTTATTTTGTATTATCTATGAAATAAAATTTATGGCGATGCTATATACAACTTCAATTTTAAAGTTCGAATAAATATGTGTTTTCTAATTGCGAAATATTTAAAATAATATTTGTCCAAGCTTCCCTCTATCCTTCGCTAACTGCTGAAGACGAACATATTTCCATTCTTAACGCACTCATTGATGTGTCCGATTTTCCCCAGTTATATTCTTTAGAAGAACCCTGGGATACGCTTCCATAAATATTGGACTCATTTCTCACGCATTTCCTATACGTAAATGTATAGCATTACTACACGACACCGAACATCCATATCTGACATAACACATAACAAACACTCCTTTCTTTTAATAGGAGTAAAAGAATATAATAGATTATTAAATATCCTTATATGACTAAAAAACTGGTTTCAATTGTTGCGCGTATGCTTATTCTTTATGTATTTGCATGGTTAGACAACTGCGGACATTCCATACCTTCTATTAGGAACGCATTCATTTTTAAGCACAGTCCAACAACGGCCGGCGTCTCTAGACAAAAACTGTGTTTTTCCCTTCTGAATAAAAAGGACAACTTCTGTAACAGCAGGAACAATCGCTGGCTGTGGGATGTGGTCTTACGTACACCAAATCCAACATTAAAAGAAAGAGTATGTGCGTCTACTATGTTTAAGAGCACTTGGACAGTCAACCACTGACCTTCTCAGTGAGAGAAATTGACGAAGTCAATTTCGATCTAAAATTAAGTATCTGTTTATTGTGAGACAAAAAATGCGATAACATGCCAGGTGGCGTCATATGAAGCGTGAATTCGGATATTTCAATTTTTTCCTGGAAGCATATTTTGCGCGTTTCTAATCCGCCGGGTTCCACTCCGTTGATTGCAGTGATTAGTCCACCAATTACTTTGAGTGAAAGTTGATACATGGATAATTTTAACACTATTAAGCACGATTTCCAGTTATTGTATTGACTTAAAATAATAAGGAAGCCTATCCACCAAGTCCTGCAATAGAGGAAGCCTTTTTTTAGCTCCGGAGGCAAACACCCACATCAGTCCTATAAGCCCTAGCCGGGTGTCTGCTTCGTGCCGCTTCGATATCTTTATGATCATTACCACAAAATGGCATAACCAAACTACAGTATGCCAGTAGAATTATGCGGAATCAGTCTTCAACTCTCCGAGAATATAGGAAGCTATTGGATGTCGAATGCAATTGAATTTCCTGACCTCGAACTCCCAGATGGCTTGCAGGTTCAGCGCACTCTCCATCTCTTCGCTCTCCAGTTGTTTCCGCATACCACTTGGGTCATCGTCCCCGCGCAGAACCTTTAGGACGAAATATGGAAGACTTTAAGTCAAGTCCTACAAGTGCGTGGCTCGCGCCCAAGTAAAAAATCTTATTTGCATAAAAACAAATGTTTTGCGTTTATTGGAACAAGAAATGTTTATTACAAATAACATTTTTTTACAAGGGCACACACTGAAAAAAATTTAATCATGCTTTCACTTCGCTACAGCCTCACAAAAACTTGCGTGTATAGTGCACCGAGCGCCTTCCAAACACTAGTCACTGATATTATATTAATTAGGAGTCAGTAAAATAAGATATCGATGGCGTTTTCCAATCACAGTACCATTTAATAGGCATTCAGGTCGACTGCAGTTTTGCAGACGAAATACCGACTTAAGCGACTATTATTTTATTACTAAATTGGTAAAAAACGTGCCTCACTAATTTAGAATTTAAAAAAAAAGCTCAAACTGGGGTGGCGTCACAATATAACCTTAATTAGGCGTGTTCAGAAAAAACGATACGCTTCGATTTGTGAAAGTACCATCCCCGACTACGTAAGGATGTTAGCGAGCTTAGTCGATATTTTTTATTTTCATTGTTGGTTGTATATATGCTCTCGGTCAAGGGAAATGAGCAACATTTCTCGCAGCACAAAAATAACTTCCACCACTAATACATAAAATTCCGAAGGTTTTCGCATATATTTAGTGCCACTGACTAAATATATTTATAAATATATGCACTAAATATAAATATATTTAGTGCATATATTTAGTGTGACTGACGGCGTTCTCTGTGCGTTTGCGCGCTCCGGTGGTCGGTCTTTTCTAACCTGCCTAGATTTCTACAATTCAGTAAAACTTAATTGTCAATAAATACCACAAAGCAAAAAGAAGAGTCCGCACGTGGCAGGAAGCCTTCAGTGGAAAATATTTTCTGAGTAAAGTTGTTTTAAACTACAAAATGCAGACCCTTAATTATAACACACTCCGATATTTCCCTTACATTGATTCCACAGCTTATATTTATGCTATTATTGTTATTCCACAGAGGTGCACTTAATGCGTAAGCTCCGTTTTTTTAAGTTTACCCGCACAATTCAGTGTAGCATTAAACTTGACCACGTAAGTTGGCATCACACAGATGCCCAATAATATACATAAGTTACTAGGTGCTATATAATAAAACAAATGGGAAGGGAGATCTAAAGATCGCATTATGAGAATAAGCGTGTCGCCCTATGTGCGAGATAGGGCGACCAGGACGTCAGCAGTGCCAGAAAATACAAAAAAAATCCCATTACCTCTGGAACCATTAGAAAGCAGCATACAAACAGCGCGATGAAGCAGTTCAGCCAAAAGACCCATCGAAGAAATGTGAAATAGGAAGCGACCACGGATCCAAAATGGCCTGCAAACGACACGGCACTATTTAAGTGACCAATAACAACACGTCAAACTCTGTATGCAAGAACGAGTGCAGCTGCAGAAATCATCTGAATGAAGATTTATTAAATGGTAGGAAGTGTTTATTATTTAGGTTTTCTGCACATTGATATGTCTTCCTGGAACCGAAACATCTCAATGACACATTTTCGCCTTAAGTAAAAACGTTCCTACGTACGAGGACTATAAGTTCAATGCTCAACCAATCGCCATACAAATGAACACACAGTCACCTTTCATAGCGTATGCACTATTATTCGAATGACACAAAATGGATCTACAAAACTTGCTGTTGCTATTTGCACCTCAAGAGGAGATGACGCTATCGAGCGGCACAGATGTCACTTTAAAAAGGGCAGAGCAGCACCTGTATAAACGTGCAGCGAAAACTGCAACAGCCTTGCGACGTAAATGCGAAAAATACGAAAGGGAGTTAAATACACACAGTTGGTTCCGCGAATACTACGACTGAACACATTTGCGAAAAAGTATTTCACGTAACAAAATGTGAGTTTATCATAGTCACTCCCTACTTGCTGTGCCAGTTAGGGTGGCATGTAGTTCTAATCCATGGTGCTAGACGTATCGCAAGCCTTACTTCTTGCGCACATTAGCAGATTAAAATTATCGTTGTGCGACAGGGTCACGGAACATATATAAGACGCTGAAGTGCTGCGCAGTGACATATGAGACTATCACAACCTGTGATATAACACTACTGTACTTGTGTGCGAAGCCTATAAGCTATTTTAAAAACGAAAAAAATGTCGCAGCTATAGTAAGATATGTGATTTGTTTTCTGTATTCCTAACTTTTTTTGTATTTTGTGCGCATAATGCAAGAGTGTTTGATATGAGTGTATGTTTCCTTTTCGTTTTTGTTGGAATTCACCACCAACAGCATGTTGCTGTTGGTGAATATCAATAAATATACTTAAACATAAATATAAACTTTCAAGTGTAAAATCCTGAAGAGTGATTACTTTCCAACTGATCACGTCTGATAAATTAAAATTTTATCTAAAATATTAAGGTGGGCTAGTTGGATATGCATTTTCGAAATAAATAACGCGAAGGTCAAGTACAAACTGACGGAACAAGCGCTAACTCACAACTGTCGTTTTAATAATCACACAGAAGACGAGAAAGAGGTAGTGTTTCTCTCTCGTCTTTCTTTTCGGTATTAAAAAATTCCCAAAATGAAATTGCCTTCATGGGAAGAGGAAGTTACGTTGAAATAACTGAGAATTAACAATAAAGGAAGAGGAGGGCGTTACATTAAAAAAGTTTAGAATTAGCAGAAAGAAAGGAAGAGGAAGTTGTTTACCTTAAACTAATGAAACAACCTTAAGTAGGAAAGTTAAGGTAATGAAGTCCTTCGTCAGTTAATGCCACTGATGGTGCACTGACACACGAGTTCTCCTTCTCTTTTATGGTCATTACCTCGTATAGTTCCCTTAATACCTTCTCACGGTACCTTCGCATAGACCCTTGTCTTTCTAAGTATCGGCTTGCTGTGGCAGTCTCTTACGTGCACTGCGAGATGCCCCGATGGTGGTGATTTGAGTGACGCAGCGTGTTCACGTAACCTGCCTGGTGTTCACGCGCCGGCCAGACTGACCAACATATACTCTGCCACAGGTGAAAGATATTTCATATATAACCTGGCTTTGGCAAGCATGTTTGCTTGTGCCTCTGGTCACATTCTTTGCGACGTTCTTGTGGGAAATTTATCATTGGACAAAGCTTCTTTAGCTTGTTTGGTGCTGAAAAGACGACAGAGATGTCCAGAGGCACAAGCAAATATATATACCTTGCCAAAGCCAGGTTATATATGAAATACCTTTCAACTGTAGCAGAGCATATGTTGGTCAGTCTGGCCCGTGCGTGAACACCAGGTTACGTGAACACGCTGCGTCACTCAAATCACCACCATCGGGGCATTTCGCAGTGCACTTAAGAGACTGCCACTGCAAGCCGATACTTAGAAAGACAAGGGTCTATTCGAAGGTACCGTGAGAAGGTATCAAGGGAACTATACGAGGCATTGACCATAAAAGAAAAGGAGAGCTCGTGTGTCAGTGCACCATCAGTGGCATTAACTGACAAAGGACTTCATTACCTTAACTTTCCTACTTAAGGTTGTTTCATTGGTTTAAGGTAAACAACTTCCTCTTCCTTTCTTTCTGCTAATTCTGAACTTTTTTAATGTAACGCCCTCCTCTTCCTTTATTGTTAATTCTCAGTTCTTTCAACGTAACTTCCTCTTCCCATGAAGGCAATTTTATTTTGGGGATTTTTTTCATACCCAAAAGAAAGACGAGAGAGATACGCTACCTCTTTCTCGTCTTCTGTGTGATTATTAAAACGACTGTTGTGATTGAGCGTATGTTCCGTCAGTTATTACTTGACCTTCCCGCTATTTATTTCGAAGATAAAATTTTATCCATTGATTGAGAGCGTAAGAAACGTCGGGTGTCCCATGGTTATCGCTCCGTAGTAAAAGACATTTGGGGATTTGAACATAAGAATGCCAAAGAAGTTAGGAAGCAAGAAGCGTGCACGGATTAAGCCACGTCAGGCGATTCTTAAGCTGTCAAAGATTATAGAGATGGTAAAAGCACGCAAACAAGGGTGTGCTATGAATGTACCCTGCTGCACTACCTAAGCTCATGAATCGGCACTAAGCCACATCATTGTTTTCAGCCTTCAGGATTAAGGTACGCACACCCTCCTGCTAATCACAATGCACAAGAAACGAAATTCTTTATACGCGTATGAAAGGTGCAATCCCATTATATTTTTCAATTCTTTATTGATTTTCATTAACAGTATCATCAGGTGAATCTAATATTGGCCATGTTCTTCTTGACTCTGAATGAATATCTTAATTAAGATTCCTTTTGATTTTATCTAACCGTCTATTTTAGTACCACAATAGTTCGCAAAAATATTCCCCATAAGGTGGGGCATTTTGTTTTACTACGACTGCGTGATAATCAAGACTTTCTAAGCTGCATATGCAAATCTCCACACTACAGCTAGGCGAGTAAAAACTTCATATAAAATAGTAAAATATCTTGCTCACTTTCAATTCGTTTAATGCGCATTTCCCATGGCGTTAGAATGACGACCAGCTCTGCTACTTCTCGCTTGAGCCGATGCCACGACTGAAAAAATCAATGTGGAAACGAAGTGACTCGAGTAAAAAATACAGCATAGTGACACTAAAGGGCATTTTAAGTTTTGTATAACTGGTGCACGGAAGACATTTTTGCTGAAGTGAACGTATACCTTTAATAGTTTCGGCGAATTAAAAAAATATATACATTTCAAAAATGTATTTTATTTTTTCCCAAACTCTAGAAGCCAAGCCTTCATTGAATACTTGTTTTTTTTTCATTTTAAATCAAATAAATAAACGTTATCACACTTCTGCATCTTTCTAATAGCGTATGAGTTCAATTTGTTGCTTCTTTCATTTGTCCCATAGCATAATTTATTTATGATGCGCAGAAGACACATTCGGTTTTCATTTTCTTACTGCTGTAATTTCTTTTTCGTTTTTTTATTTTTTTTGGGGGGGGGGGGTGATAAGATATTTTGTAATCTTTGGTAGCTCCTCAACATAAATTATTACATATAGCGACATCAATATTAGTATAATCCTGAATATTTTCAATATTTGAAACAATGCGAAATTCCACATAACTTTAAAGATTTATTAGAACAATACTCTAAATGACACCCACTGTCTCTTGTTGAAGCTTTTCGAGAAAACGCTAAACATAATACACCCAGCAAGATTTGGTAGCAAGTTCGAGTTCTGAACGTATCTGTGTTGTTTTTTTTTTCATTAAGACAACAAAACCCCTTGTTTGTTTTTGGTCTTACATTATCACTAATGCCCATTACATCATACTCACATTGGTTAGAAGTATGGTGTACTTGGCGAAGATGTCCTTTGCTTGTTTACTTTGTGCTAGCTCCCCTTCGTGTTTCTTGACGTACGCTTTGGCGCGTCTGCAAAGAGTAACGCAAGCGACGGTGCCCGAACAGCAGCAAGAGGTTAATGAATAAAGAAACGCTAATTATAAGGGGGGAAAGCTTATCACGGAGAAGTCTCAAAACAAAAATATCACAGCAGAGCAAATATATAGGAGTCGGTGATACCGGCATTTATGATGCATAACATTTGCTGGCGTATATGCCATATATGGCTTGTATGAACCGTTCAAACGTAGCGTTAAAAACGGATTCGCAGAAAACAGGTAACAAGTGCCCGAAAAACACGACCATTTTCTTTATATAAACTTACATTTTTTTGTTTTTTACAGAAGATTCAAACAACAAGGACGAGCAAACACACTTGCCCTTTTTATTCACTAAATATTCTGGTCCTAGAGGTCGGCAGCACAAGAAACAAAAAAATAGCGGCTTTCATGTTGCCGCACAACAGCATGAAGATTTGATTAGTTTGGCACATAAAATTGGCCTGTGCTTGACGGTGCTACTGTCCTTGAGTTTTAAATTCGGATAATTATATTATGGCTACTGAGAATGAGGTTAGTAAGGAGTGCAGTTATTAAGATGCGGCTTCTTGAAATGCTGCTTTGCAAGCATTGGAGTCTCGATGGGAAGGTTCTGTTGATGAGACTATAACACCAGTTTGAGAAAGATCTGTTCGTATGGAGGAAAACTCCAGTGGGTTGTTAAATGCCGTCACCAAACGTTTAAGGTGCACCGAGAAGTATGCAGCACTTCTGAACCTCTCAAGGCGAAGTGTTTTCATTATTCTACTAATTTTCTATGGAACATAAATCTTACTGTGCGCATTATTAGTGAACTATGAAAGGTTTATTAAGAAAAAAGTGATGCCTCGTTATTCACTTTCGTAAACTGTTAACTGCTTCTGATTAACGCTGCACTATTATTGTCCGCCTTAACTCATTCTCACCAAGGTTGGAAGCTGTAGAGAATACTTACTTGAGCATTTTGTACTTCTTGTTCATTGGCCACGGCTGGTGCTTTGCCGTCTCGATTATGCTCTTGTTCATCCGCACGTTCTCTTTCACCTCTTCGTCTGTCTGGTCCAAGTCATCCACGTCGATGGCGAATTCGCTGCCGAAGCTGCGCACAAAAACATTGAGATATGTCTCTAAAAACTTGGGTTTAAGTATTTAATTATTTGAAAGCGTGCGATTTAAGAACATGTGCCGATAAATGTTGGCGTAAGTGATTATCGATAATAAATCATGTTGCAATATTTCAGGAAGTGTTTATTAACTCATCTTCTAACAACCTAACAATGCCATTGTAACCTACATTCTGGCTTTTTTGCCGTTAATAAATCAGGTAATCAGGTTTACGGTCGTAACTTGAGATGAACAAATTCTCGATTCCATTCCAATTAACCTCTGTTATAGAAAGACCGCACCTCGGAAAACCCGCAACCGTCCACATTGTGGCGCGTACGAGAGCGCTCTCAATCGACGTAATGATGAGGCGTCAAACAGAATGCGTGAGGTTGGGTGTTGCCTCCAGCGGCGTCTGTCATCAAAGGCCCACGCATTGTTCGTACTTTGTGTTCGCTGGAGTGACCGCTGGGTTGGAGGGCTGTCTCTCCACGTTATGAAATATGCGCTCTTCGGCAGGCGCTCTATTGACTTAGCGTGGGAGGAACTGCCGGTTTGTTTGGCTCGGTAGCCTGCATAATGAAGTAGTACCTCCATTTGGAATCAAGTCGGTAACGAGACTCTACACAGTTTCACAGTTCATTAGGTCAGGGGCAAAGGCACATTAAAAATAATCAAGTTACGCGTGGTCAATCGCCTTTATGAGTAACTTTAGCAACTATTTTACTGCTTTGTTTAGGCAGTAATTATGCGAGAGATACTAAAGTAATTTGAATAATCGTTTACTAGTTTTGCATGCTCCTTTTTTTTACTTTTCTTTAAACTGGAGGACAAGTTTTAGCGGTTTATTACACGCCATCAGCTGAATAGTGATAAAAGTAAAGATGCTCATTAAAAACTGTCATAGCCAGAGGCAGTGCGAGGCACAAGCGTAAACGATATTATGCCATCTTGGGATTTTGTAAAATGGGAAGCTGCCATCTCCCTAAATTCTAACTGCTTCTTACAAGCAAAGTGTTAATATGAGGTTATCTCGAGCTTGGTGATCCTAATGTCAACCCTGTGGATAAAGCACGATGAAATCTTGTTCGAGCCTATTTTCGCCTCAAAACATTCCACGGTCAAGTGGACATTGTCAGAAATGATAGGGAGCGCTGCAAACGTGCGGAGGCATGGGGTTTTGAGAAGCTCGTTTTAGCGAACGCCGCTTTACCGACATCAATTTATCAAATCCCTTTATAGAGAAACGAAGTTTAGAGTAAGGGTGGCGATGTGGGTTAGTTGGCTCATACTGACGGAAAGGCAAACAGCGCACAGTAAACGGGGACTAAAGGAAGTGAAAACAGGACAAGTGCTGTAAAGGAAGTCCAAACGGGACAAGCGCTGCCTAAAGGAAGTACAAACAGGACAAGCGCTGCTAAAGGAAGTGCAAACAGGACCAGCGCTGAACTAAAGGAAGTGCAAACAGGACAGCGCTTGTCCTGTTTGCACTTCCTTTAGTCCCCGTTTACTGTGCGCTGTTTGCCTTTTCGAAGTTTAGAGAAAGTGGTGATTACCCTTTTTAGCAAATTCAACCGGCGTGTACGGGTGGTTCAAATGAGTTAACATTTCTGTAATGAGCTGCCGCAAACTGCCGCCGCGAAGCGGCGTAAACGCCAGGGGGGGGGGGGGGGGGTGTTAACGCGCGCCCCAGCGTTACACGCGCGAGGCAGAGAAGCCTTTTTTTAACAGCGTTATTTTCGATCAACGGAGTTTTTCTAAACTGAGGCTTCACTTGCCCTAAACCGATCTTCGATAAAACGTGCCCGTTCTCTACAACGTGTTTCGATGAAATGGCCTTCGATCAACGGTAGTAAACCCAACAACGCGATCCAAAATGTTGCTGTAAAAGGAAACGAATACCAGCCTGGTTCCCATCTGAATTGATTTCCTCGCACATGCATGTTTTAGAAGTCTAGAGCAGAATGCGAGAATACACTTCTCTGTACCATCCCCAATCCAGAAAGGGGGAAGGGAGGAGGGGTAGGTTATCGTGTATCTTTGTAGCTGATTTGATTTTGTTATTGTTTTATTGCATGGTTTTGTATAGTGAGCGGCTATAGGGCGTTGTACTTGTAATTTAAGTATTGAATAATCGGCGTGTACGAGCTAGCGAGTGTATATCTATATTGCTTTCACGATTGCAACGAAATTAGTAAGTTTAAATCATTTAGCATAATAGAATCAAACGAACGATTCTCTAAGTTAGGCGTTCGAATGTTGCTGTTAATTAAGGATGTCTTCAAAACCCCAAGCCGCGGTGCAGTATTCATATAATTTATAAAACAAATTAAAACGCTAGCGGGTATTTTTAGCAATGTCCGATTAATATGCCAGTTCAGTAATTGAGTAGCCTAATTAATTTGTTTTCATCGGGAGTAATGGCAATTTTAATTTCTCTTTTTTTTTTAGCAAACGTTCGTGTACCTTTCCTTCACGCATAAAAATGCGTACGATTTTGGGTATTTTCAATGCACCCTGAAATTCGCCTGGCCTTTGTCCGAAATTTATAACAGCGTACAGTAATTAACCTAGGAATTAAAACTTCCAGAAGAAAGCACGACGAAATGTTCCAAGCAATATGTTGCGAATTCCGTAAATTAGCCCACCCTCTATGACGCCTGCGGAAGTACTTACATTAAGCAAACTGTCCATCTGAACTCTAAAAGGGTGGCCAATATTGCCGCGATATTAAACCAAATTCCAAAATTATTATCCTTTATCCACGCAATATGTTTCAGCTGACTTGTGCCAAGAATTTAAAAAAACACGTTACGCCTGTTGAACAAGTCGATATATTGGTTTGCCATGGCCAAACTACAGATTACTTTGCTAACTCAATAATTAATAACTTGTTCACAAACTTCTTGTTACAAAAGCTGTGGAGCGTGTTGAAAACATCCCATCAAGGTAACCTTCGTGTGCCTAACGTTTCAGAGCTTTTTAGAACGCCTGAGAGTTTTACAAAATATCCCACGCGACTAAGGACACTAACAGCGCAGTTAGCTGGCGAGTAGTCACATGATATTTTTTTTTATCTCAAGCGAGATTTTTTCAGCGCTCTTTAAAGCTAAACAAAATTAGGCTACCTTCGCGAAATTGACAGGATGGGATGTTTCTAAAGCAATTCGTCAACTTCAGTAGTGGAGGGTTTGCTCACGAATTATTAGTCAAAACGTGAGCTAACTATTTCCTTTAATTAGGCAGTTTAGCCCATTGACAAAAATATCTTGACAAGTTTAATGCGACTGTGAATAACACCCTGTATTCTTCCCCTACAGCATAAGTAAAACATTGACGACGCTTGTTGCATGCAGACAGCTTGCTCAGCCACAATGCAGTTCACGTTTCTGATTTGACGCGTTGCAAGCTGCATCACGAACCAAATATTTTCAAAGGTTTTCATTATTCAGTTTTTGTTTTATAATACCTCCGGTTATTAGTCGTGTTTTTTTACTACACCCACTGACAAGTCGTCGATTAAAAAATATAGCAGAATATAAATGAAATATAAAATGAATATATACAAGTTAAGGGACCATTGATACATCGGAGCACGAGAAAACAATCTTTCAGTTTGTCATCGAACCTAGAACAATATCTGCCACAGCACCCCGAGGGCAGATGCCAACCCCAAGGTCCCGTTCCTCTCTCCCCCCCCCCCCCCCCCGCCCCCTGAAAAAAAAAGAAAACGGCGCGCTTATTATCGATCCGTCGGGAATTCCCCACTTTATTCGCCAACGCGGAACCACGACTGATAATTCCCTTAAAATATCGGGCCTTGCCATAACCGACGAAGCCGTCCATCCATAACACCGCGGGAGCTTCCATCATGCCTCCCTCTTCCCCTCACGCTCGTTTCCGTCATCCGTCGTCTCTTTCGCGTATTGAAACGGACCACGCACCGACGGGACGATAAGAAGGAAAAAGGAAATTAAAAATCCCGGAGCTTGAACTGCGCGACAGAAAAATCCCTGCGGCCGGGGACCCCCGGCCCTAGGCTCAGGGCGTGGCTCCGGGTTCCGAACCCGCGTCGGGGCACCGCCGGCCAGGACCCGCCCGCGGCTCCGGCCGTCTTCGCCCCACTTCATTAGCCGGGGGTAGAGCATCAATAACGCAGCAGGCGGAAAAAACAGTTTTGGACCGGCACTGGGGAAGTCCACCGTTTTTGTATGCTGCATTCTGGGGCCAACGGAGCAGCGATAATGTTTCGCCGTTGTTTCGTTGTTGCTGTTCTTGTGGGTGGCTGTTGTTTCTCTTACACCTTATCGGCGGGGAGTGCAGGCGGTTTTAGTAGCCCTCTCGGCTCTTTCGCGTGCGGAATTATGAGGGTGTCGCTCTGGTTTATCGAGCATGACGACACGAGAGGCAGGAGATACATCAAAGTACCCAGGCCACTGTATGCATGTTTAATTATGCCCTCGACCAGAGGCGCATTCTAGAGCGACGAGAACTCCAGGTGACAAATTAAAGTTCCACTCATGTTGCGTTTTTTTTTTTTTTTTCGCGAGAACCTTTAAAGGGACAACGAAGGCAATTTCGGACATCTTTTTGGCGATTCAACTGAGTTCCAGGCACGTCTCAGGAGACGTTGCCCAAATTTCAGCCAAAACCGGCACTTGTGTGCCGTGCAAATCAATTAAACAGTCGCGGTAATAACCGTACCGGGATCGACTGGGGCGACGCTCCGAGAGTTGCGGGAGAAGCCAGGAGAAGGCGGAACTCACGTGACCGATGTGGGGCCAAGAAGCGCGACGTCACACGAGACGCGTCAGCGATTGGTCGAAACGAGAGACGTGCCCTCGGTCACGTTTTAGTTCGCGATTATTAGGAATACTGTTCTAATTTCCGCTTGAATAACCATAGAAAGTATAAATCGGTCCGGAAATGATTTCTAAACCGTAAATAAAGCAGCATAATTGTTTTTTTTCTTTACTACGCGGGACTCGAAACGGCCGGTGAGCAACTTCGGCACTTCGGAGGCCGCCACACACGTACTCCAGTTCCGTTTGTGTTGGGTCACTGAACGGAAGCTCGAACTCGCTCGCGAGAGCGGCAGTGCCGATTCGACGATTCGACAGATTCGACGAAACGACCGCGCAACCGCGCTGCTATAACCCACTGCGGAAACCAGAGTCTCGATCTCCTAAATACTACCGATACCGACTATTCACACTTGACGTCACTCCCTACGTCACCTCCGTTTTCGGAGGCACAGAAACGAGAATGGAAATTGTTCAGTTTCGGATTCTTTACTTCTTTCGTAGGCACAGAAATACGCGTCACAAATGTCTACAAAAAATTGAACAGCATGCTATGTCCTCAAGAAGCATAAAAACACCATTTAAAAAAACTAAATAAAATCGTCTTCATTGTCTTTTTAACGAGTAAAGCAATGTGCTCACGCAGAATACGCAACGCTCACCAACAAACTGAACACGTACTCATGACTTGCCGTAAACCTTTTTGTTGTATCCATCAATCGGGTGGATATACTAAAACCCCTCATTTCATTTTGAGCATAATGTAAATATAAGCAGAAATACGGAGTCATGTATATAAACATGAACAACAAAGGTCCGGTGGCTGCATAGCTTCCTCGATCACAGCGAAATTCCCCAAGTTACAATTACAGTTGACGTTGTTTGGGGCTTCACAACATTTCACTAATTTCTATGCAATCTTTGTAGCTGTTTGGCTTTGTACCAGCTGTTTGGGTGTTGAGCAATACTGAAGGAGCGAAGAACATAAATTGGTAAATGCATAGATACGATTGTCTTTTCTGAAAACCAGCGAACTTTAGTGGCTTAACCGCATGAAAGCGAGGCAGGTTGAAACGAGGACATTTTGCTAGAGGCTTCAGTAAGACTGTTATTGAGACACCATCTCACTAATCGAGCGAACAGCCGTCACTGCTCGCGGACATAACAAATGCGCTATTCCGCCACACGAGAAATTGACTTCAGGACCACTTTTGTTCGCAAACATCTTAATTTCCGGCCAGCTAATGCGCAGCAAGATTAAAAAGTTTACCAATAAATTGTAATTATTACGTTTTTTTTTTCCTTGTTTTTTTTTTAGCAGGACTGGAACCTCACACGGCTGTGTTACAAATTGAAATTGGCGAAGTAGTTTTCACCTCGAAACTGTTTACGCCCCTAGGCGGAGGAGAGCGTGCCGGGGATGCATGATATCCACTTCTGGAGCCCAAAGCGCACGTGGGTCCAGTACTTACTCCGAGGAGAGGGTGTAAGAGGACAGCCTGCGTCTTCCGGCAGCCGTCTCCCAGGGAAAAGGAGAGGACCCCCTACGGGACGACGACTGCCGGCTAAAGCGCCGGCTCTGGCGCCTCTCTGCGCCCTTGTGGCGCAGATACATCTCCAGGTACATGTCCTCTTCGCCCATGTCTTCCGTCGTCGGGGCCGCCATCCTGCACACCCACAAGTTGCAACAAGTCAGGGCACTGCATCCACTATCACTAACAAACTGAAATGCACAGTGTTCACGAAACGTATGCCGAACAGGCTAACTGTGTCTTTACTCATGACAGCGCTGTCCTGTAGGATGCTGAACAACTGCTCCTTAAAATCGCACTTCTGGGTGGTTTGTTCGGTGCTATGTCAAACAGATTGCTGCTCAGCCGCTACCAGGAGAGCGCTCCCATAAAAAAAAACATAGCTGACCTGCTCCATATAAGTTTGCAGAGCATTCTAAATGGCGCAATACCTTTAATGCTTCTAATTTCGATCGGCCATTAAGAAGACTCGAGTAGAGCTTGAAGTGTACTGCGTATTAATTTAAGAAATGGGTAGATGAACACGAAAGCAGATGTTGGTTACACTATCCATACTTATAACTTAGGTAAGTTTACTGAAGACATTGAAGGAACCCGACGAGATTCAAATGTATTACGTCAATCGGGTTCTCAGGGAAAAAAGGGAAATATAAATTCACAGTAAGAAAACGACAGGACAAATGGACAGTGTCCTTTTCCCAGCACCCTTCAATCAATAATTGTTTTCTCGTTTTCAAAACATTTTATTATCTCGTATATTTGAATTCTAAAAGTTCAGTATGCAGCGGAGTTCGGAAACGTTAAATGGCCGCGCAAGTGTCGTGAATTTAAATAAGGGGATTACAGAAATTTCCAAATGTAGCCTACAAAATTCCGCATCACCAGTATAACATGACTACCACAGTAAAATACGGGAACTGATATAATGCAAAAAAAAAACAAGTTGTGCATGCTGCAGCAAGGTCCCAATAGAAAAAGAACCGAGTACGCCACCGGGTGCTGGCCGTACCAGGATGAATAAAAAATTCCCCCAATGAAAGCACTGCCAAAAGGTAGATAGCATTCAACATAAACTTTTTATCGCCATCGGAGCAAGAAATGTTTATATAAGTGAGGGGAAAGGCCTCTAAAGAAAACAAAAACAGCTTCGTCGGGTATGTTTTCGCCTAGAAACCACGGAAATTCCGGAGCATCTGAAGCAAAGAAGCTGAAATCGCTAATTCGGAGTATAAATAAAGATATTTTGGGTGTCTTGTGCCAAACCCACTCGCTACGGACCAGGGTTTCGCCACGGCGAAAATGAACATAAAACTTTCCCTTGTTCAAAGAACCCTCCCTACACAGTCTACTTCCTGGCGTCACCGGATCAGCTCCAGCCTCACTGGTATCCGCAAGACCATTCATGACGTCATTTGGGAACAGCTCAAGAATCAGCAGTTTGCTTGAATCGCCGAAGTCATTCGGGAGGGAGTGCAAGAAGCATTCCATTCTTTGCACTTCCTCTATAAACGCCAGAAATGTTCGGTTTGGTGTGAAAAATATGCATTGGTGAATCCTTCGGGAATGCCTTAGTAAGGCCCTATGAAAACGCCACACACGTTCCCCTCTGAGAAACTCTAACGCTGACCCCGTAAATTTTCGGTTCTGGTTTTTTTATTTTTCTTCCTCTATTTATTGCTGCCTCTTTTTGACCTCGTTACGGAGTCAGTGTTAGCGTTTCCCAAAGAGGGAGGTGTGTGGCGTATCTCAAGGGTCATGCTAACCCATTCCCTAAGGATTCACCGAGTGATCTTTCTTTAACTTTTGTCCTGCGAAGTGAATGCGTCGAACCCGCTTCGCTTCAGCCTCTGTTCCACGCAGACCCGCGTCGGCTTGCTGCTTCTGGCGCCGCATTCCGGCCAGCCGACCTAGGGTGCCTTCATTTGTGCTTTGCTGAAGGTGATGACATAGGGCTTTATTGTTCTAACAACTCATTCTTATTTCTTGTTCTGAAGCGACCAGAAGAGCCCGTCCCTGCACGCGCTTGTGGCGCCGTGACTGTCCTACGGTGACTTTTTGTTTTCGACGATTTCTTTGTCCTTTCTCTGTAAGCTCGTGCTGTCGGCATCGGGTACTACAAAGGGTGGCATCACCCTAAAGAGAAGGACATTGAGGCAACCTAAGCCGAGCTAGGCGCTTCTTCCCCTCCTCTGTCTTGTTCGCCCGCCTTGCACGGTTAGCGGCGGCATCCGCTGCCTGACACTGCTTTCGCTGTTTACCGGTTTCCCGTGCGCGTATTGGCTTCCGCCCCGTGACGTCGCATCTCTCTCGCCTTTGTGCTTCACTACTTTTCTCCTCTCTACGCGGCGCGCTTCCCTCTTCACTCTTCTGTCCGCTGACGGATGGTCTCAGCTTTTCGCTGTCACGTAGGTACTAATACTAGCGCATTCAGAAACACAAAGCCGTCATCGACGTCTACGACGCAATGGCACTGGTAGTCATCGGAGCGGACCGTTCTGTTTTCTGTAGAAGACTCTTACGCAGCCTTGAAAAAAGATAACGCGGTAAGGTGGCCCAATAACAGGAACCTCCGGGAGTCACCTAATTACACCAATCAGGAAGTCCATTCTTCATGACTAAATTTTCGGTGAGTCCTGTTTGATGACATTCGCCGAGCAGCAACACTGTGCGAGGAATAATTTTATTCAATTGATTGTTATGCGATATAAACTGACAATCAATCTAGGAGCAGTCAAGCTGACGTTCCGAAAATTCGCGCTGTAGCGGAATGATGAAGAAGTAACTCTAACAACAAATCGAATAAACAACGACCAAATATATCGAACACTTCGATCACAACATTTGGCGACAATCAAGGGATGGTAAGGCTTAAATAGTTCGGAAGCTAAACTGAGTTCCTGCGGTGAATTAATATTAAAGAAAAGTTGGTTTCTACGTTAATTTCTCTTTTGTGTCTATTTTAACTTGATGTTCATCCTCTCTTTAAATGTGAAGGTCTGTAGTGGTCTTAAAAAAAAAAAAAAAAACTCAAACGGGTACAGATGTTTAATGAATGAAAAAGATGCATATTTTCTTCAATGCCTCATTCAGACGGAATGGTCGCAAATCTTCACTTGCGCTCAGGTTGACGTCCGTTCTGGAGAACCTAAGCAATGAGGCAATGTCAAGCTTTCCGCCAACACTAAGGAGCGAGGTCATTGAACCCATCCTTCATTTTTCTTTTCTTCGCCTTCCTGAGCGCCCGTATCGATCCACGTCTGCGTCGTAATAACACCTGCCCACGATTCTCGTCAGACTCAATGTCAGAAAACCAAAAATGTGGTCGGACGCACCCCTGGCGAATATGCATATTATCACGCAGGCACTTCCTTTTTGTTTTACTTCACCGATCTACTAATATTTTCAAGAAGCGAGCTGCATGCCCACTGGACGCTAGTATTCGAGTAACCCTTCATAAAATTCTCGCTTCGATCTCGTTACAAACACCGAAAATCAGTATGGGGCAAATATGTTAGACACGTTACCGTTTACTGTAAAAAAAACTAGGTAGCGTCTTCATAGCTACCTTAATGTTTCAATGCTTTGCGATTTTTTTTTCAATGGCTGCACGACTTACGCGAATCTCGTTAATTTGCAGTGCACTTTTGACGCTATCGCACTTGTCAAAAAAAAGTAGCTAAGCGTTTCAGTGTTGAGCAGTACGTAAAGCAATTTATAGTCTGTAAAGAACAACTGTGTGAAAAAAAGGCTGTGGTAGGTTTGCATTTGTGACATATTTGCGATTTGTGATGCAACCCTATGGTAGGTTTGTATCACGCTCTATGGGGAGTCCGCACAGCTTTCAAGAATATTCGCTTTGAAGAGGTGTCTCGTGTCTTCGCTGTAGATAGGCCCTACAGTCAGTGAGGTTTGGCCGCCAACCACTTTAACTCGCATTGAACGGAAGTGATTAAATGAGCGTACGCCACTATGACACTCATTTAGACAGAAAAGGAAAAAGGCAGGCATTCAACCCAGCAATTATCCCTGTGGGTTCTGCTGTTCTGCAAAAGCCATGGATGATTCCGATGCAAGAGCTATCACGTAACGACGCGTCTGTCATCGTCCCGTGCCGGGACTTTACACCTCTCTGGCGACGTAGATCTGGAACGGTTCCCTGCCTGCGCCAGTTTTTCCTAAGCCTGTCCCCGCCTTCTCTGCTCCTTCGGACTACGTTTCCGCTGACTTCAGTCTTGCCGGCTAAGCAGAGTTCAGTTCCCCGCAGCATTCGCCCATGCCTAACTTAGGGAACGTCGACACCTCCCGTTAGAAACGACTGTGTTCTCTGACGGGAGGTCTCACCAGGTTCTCTGGTAGATTCCTGTCGTCACGCCATGTTTATTTTATGTGTCCTCCCCATCGTATTCTATCAAAGCTCAACATCACATCTCCCACCTTTAAAACAGAGGTCTATTTACAGGTCTTACAATTCGTTGACTTTGTGTCGTGTGAGGATTCGGGTCAATGTACGGCTCTGAAATTGTTTTGGTGAGCTCAGCCTTAAGCACTGGTTTTAGGTGGAAGCTATACCGGCGAAGACTTTCTGTGTCAGTGTCCCCAAAGTATGACCTCGGGGACTCCGCTGCAGATTGCACTGCGCCGAGCATTTGCTGATTGGTGATCCAAACAACGTCGCCTCTTCTCGGTGGTTCGCGTTGTCGTGCGCCACGTCGCCTGGCATAGTTAACATATTGCTGAGCCATTATTTTTTCCCACCATTGGTGTTCATGGGAGTTCCCAAGTTTCGGTTTAAAAGTGAAAGAAACAGATCGCAGGGACGTTCTCAACTTGCGACTCATAAGCGACTAGGCGGTACTATACCTATTGTCCAATGGTGTAGCACGGTAGGACTGTAAGGCGATGTAGCTGTCGGATGTCTTCTTGAGGCTTCTCTTAAAAATTCCGACAGCAACTTCAACAAATCCAT